AGATCAGATCTCTGTGTGGAGCACTGGCTGTTGTCAGGCAAAAACCTCACTGGATTATTACAATTGATGGCAAAATGAATGTTTGGAAATGTAAACGGATATTTCCTACTGACACACTACAGCAAAAGATAGAAATAACTGACTTAAAACCATTTTTTAGCTGCTGAAAATACTAGTTCTAATAATTTTGGCCACTCGGCTGTATATGAAAACTGCAAATTTCGGAACCCAAAATGTTCTCCCAAAAGTCCAAAACAATTTGGACTGACATCAGACAGTGTTTATAAACTTAGTCCATACACTCTCAGAAAAAAAGGTACAAAAGCTGTCACTGTGATTGTACCATTTTAAAAGGTACTAATATGTACCATTAAGGTACTATTATGCACCCTTTAGGTACTAATAAGCACCTTTAAGTTAAATAAGGAGTAAATAAGGTGCAAACGTGTATTTGAAAAGGTAATACCCTAGTGACAGCTTTTTTACCTTTTTGTCGGAGAGTACAGAAAAATAATAAGAGTAAAATGTAGTAAAATCTGTAAACTCTTGTGCTGTTTTTGTCTGTGTGTACTAGCACCTACAGCTCTGCAGATCCATCAGAACAATCACAATTTTAAGATGCGTCACGTTAACCATTGCTCTGCGAGAGTTCAAGGGCGAAATTCAGTGTTGGGTGAAATTCAACAGTGTTGGGGAAAGTTACTAATCTTTTTGTATTCTATCTATTTGTTTTTTTTTTATTTATTATACAATTATCAAAAGCAAAAAAAGGGCTCTAACACTAGCTTGATCTATTCTTTTTCTATTCTATCTGTTTTCATTTTATTTATTATATTATTTATAATAAATAAATCATTTTTAATTAATTATATAAATTATAAAAAATTAAAAAAAAACTTGCTACGTGTAGGCTACTGCGTTAAGCTAACTGAGACTTGTTATAGCACTTGTATACAGTGTTGGGGAAACTTACTTTTAAAAGTAATGCATTACAATATAGCGTTACTCCCTAAAAAAGTAACTAATTACTACTTCGTTACTTTTTATGGAAAGTAGTGTGTTACGTTACTTTTGCATTACTTTTTAAATCTGGGCAGGGCTTGCTTGTTTGTTTTTAATATAAAAAGTTTTTCTTTTACAACTGTAAAAGCCCTTTCACACCAAAAATGAAATGAATACACCTCAGGCTGAAGGAAATGTAAACTCTTATCTGTACAGTAGAGGGCGCCGCTCAAAAGAATCGCATGAAGAATATGACGCAGGAGAAGAAAGTTCAACACTCTTCAGCAATAACACAAATGAAACACAAATGCGTAATTTTGGCTAAGTATGGTTGAATTGAATCATCAAAGGTCAGTAGCAAAGACATTGGTTAATAAAATGGGATTAAATACATAAATGACATTTGTCGTATTTAACATATTTAAGTATTGCAGGTTTTTATAATATTTTGAGTTTGCATTTGACTGTTTTACTTCATTTTGAGGAATACTGTATCTGTTTTTGTGCAAGTGAGATGAATAAATACATGTTCATATTTAGTCTAGAACTACAGTAACATCATGTTCGCACACGACGTCTCTCTGCACTCACTCCCGATTTCTCTCACCATGGCAACACCAGAGCTGTCAGTCAATACATGGGGGAAAAAGTAACTGGAGTTACTTATTTGAAAAAGTAACTCAGATGTTTCCTTCTAAATTACGTAACTCGCATTACTTGTAATGCTTTACCCCCAACACTGCTCATCAATGTCTGTTCCAAAACAGTGGACCAATCAGAAGCCCCCGGAGGCGGGGCAAACACAGTAGTAAATTGGCATGGCAAATGTTTCATTTGACGCCAACATGGCAGAGGAGGCATTCTGCGCTGCATTTTTTATAAAACCATTCCTGAGCACTGCGTCTCGCGTTTTTAGACGCAAAGACTAACCTAACAGCTTAGTGCAACAAAATTACTCATTTCACATGCGCCGGTGTAATTTTCATTAAAATGGTCATGAAAAAACTCAATTTTGAGTGCCTTTGAAGCGCATTAAAAAAAATAAAACAATATGCGCAAGCAGACCTGAGCATAACGCCACCCATCCGGATCGCTCGCTTCCAGTCCTTCAAGGTGGCTTTCCCTGACAAGTGCACAAACTGCTTCGGACTAATCAACTGATCCTCATACTGCGGAGAAACAGAGAAAGGCCGATTAAACACATTACCAGCGGTTATCTGCAGCGATGTGCTCTACACGACACCAACCTTTACACATTTGACGTTGATTCCCGGGCAGACAAACTTCTTGAATAGAAGGATGGCTTTACTCTCTCCGCATGTAATGGGATAACCAAGCTCCAAACCCTCTCCTTCAGCAGACGCCTCATCTGAACAAACACACACACGTCAACAAGAGTTTATTGTGGCAAAACTGCATTAGGTGTATTTAATGACAGCGTAATCCGCTGCTTGGAGAGAGCTGATAAATTTGAGCAGACAGCATTTACAGCTTGCAGGAAACTACAGAATGATTACTGCTAATAATGTGAATTAAAGACGGTTTAAACTACAAGGCTGCATTTTATAAAGAACACATGAGCTGTGCAAAACCTGCTGTCATGATACAGAGAAAAATCACCACTATTAAGTTTTAGGACATGGTTACCTTGTGTCTCCACAGCCACAACTGCAGCATCTGTCTCACTGCTTTCATCTCCAAGCCTATCAAACATGAAACATCATCTATAACATCAAGCTGCACCCACTTATTCCCAGAATAGTTTGTGTTTAATATGACATATTTGATGCATTATTATTATTATTATGTTTGTGTTGTGGTCACCCAGCTGTGATGGGCTGCAGCTGCAGGATCATCCGAGTCTTGCTTTGGTTGTTAGGATCTGCATCCTCTTCCTCAGCGCTCTTCACCTCCACCATGTCCTCCACGGACACAGTGACTTCTGTCTCTGCCATAGACCACGCTCTCCTTCAACTCTGAGGAGTATGACAGTCCTGGTTTAGATTTTAGTCAAACTTTGGAATAAATGTTATTTTAAATTAAGAATTTAAAGGTGACATATCATGAAAATCTGACTTTTCCAGGTTTTAAGTGCTATAATCAGGTCCCCGGTGCATCTACCAATCAAGGAAACGTGAAAAAGATTAACCCAGTAACTTTGTTTTGGTACGCTTTTTTCTGCAAGCTTCTGAGAAAACGAGCGCGTCTGATTTCGCTCCCTTGGTGACGTGGCAAAGGGATCTCATTATAATATTGCCGCCCCTTAATCTGTAAGTTTCTACCCACGGCGCCATTATTGTGATTTCGCAAGCGGCAATGGTGTACCAGCTCTAATGCCATGGCGAAAGTTTGAGCAAAACACGCTAACTGTTCTGCCTTTGGCTGCACAGACGAGCACAGAACACTATTTAGAGTCCCAGCATCAGAGCAGACAAGAGAGCAGTGGTCGACCGATATTGGTTTTTTGACAGCCGATGCCGATGCCGATATCTTGGAAAGCAGGGTTGCCGATGGCCGATATAATTTTATGTATTTTATTTAATATTTAAGAAATTTGAAATAATTTGAAAATGGATTAAAAAATAAATGTGTAAAATAAACATGCTTATACTTTAAATGACAAAGTATTTTTCACAAATAAACAAGTATTTAATAAAAATATAATTAAAAAGGAATTAAACACTGTAAACAACAACAGTTGGATTCGACTAAGTTTGCAAGGTTTTTGAAATTAGATGTTCATTAGTCATTCAAAGATTTGTTTAAATGATATAAATGCGTATTTGCTGAATGCTGACGGCAAACGAGAAAGTATTATAATGCTTGCCTTCCATTACTAACAATATAAAAGCAATCGTTATAATACTTTTTTGTATACATTTTAATTCCTTTGTTTAACAGTTCTATCTCATTATTAGACAGACTTCTGCCCGTGGACAGAACTGTTAACGACGACAGCGAACAAGAGGGAGAATGTGAGCGGTGTGTGCTCATGCGCTGCCGTTCTCAGCGCCGTCAAAATAAAAGTCACGCCATGAACGCATCGGCCAAACAGAAAAACTTAACGGCCGATGCAGATATTTGAAAAATGCCAAATATCGGGAAAGCGGCTGTCACAGCATGTGAGTACTAAACTAAGTTCTCATTCACACACAAGTTTATGTTAAAGGTGACATATCATGAAAATCTGACTTTTCAGATCTAAAATAAACATGCGATTTATTTCCCAGCTGTTTACCTTCACAGACATAACCGACTGTTTTTGTAACTCGTGTGTTTTTAATGTAAACTTGTGTGTGAATGAGAACTTAGTACTCATGCTGTGACAGCCGCTTTCTGTGCGTGTGTTTCAGATGTGTGCGCTCAGAAAACCGTTTATCAGAAATTTAAACTCATATGGTTTAAAACGCATGATTTCAGTGCGATAAACATGATAATCAGAACCAAAACAGATATTTTTAACAGGTCCGAGCTGTAACGGGGTATTTTGAGCTGAAACTTCACAGACACATTCTGGGGACACCAGAGACTTATATTACATATTGTAAAAAGGGGCATAATATGTCTCCTTTAAAATACCTGCTTTCTATTTGTAAAATGTAATTTATTCCTGTGATCAAATCTGAATTCAGTGAAATCAGTGTCACATGATCCTTCAGAAATCATTCTGATATTGCTAATTTGCTGCTCATTATTATTATCAGTGTTGAACAGTTTTTTTTGTGGAAGCTATACTTTTTTAATGATTTTTTTTTTTTTTTTTTGGAAAAAAAAAAAATTCAAATAAAAAGCATTCGAAAAAGCATTTAAAAATCTTTTGTAACATTATAAATGTCTTTACTGTCACTTTGATCAATGTAATGTGTCCTTGAATAAAAGTATTACATTTTTAAAATCTTTTTTAAAAAAGAATGATTTCTAAAAGATCATGTGACACTGAATTTTAAATATATTACAATAGAAAACTGCTCTTTGGAATATATATTTCACAATATCACTTTTTTAATAATAATAATAATATGCATTTAAATGTTTCTTTTTTTTGTAGATTATAAGTAGAAAACATTTCAATTTAACATTGAACATGTTTCATTTTCTTAATACACAATCCTGGTCTTACTGGGCACAATTCATTTGTTCATGTAATTCCAAAAACCTTTTTGAAATTAATCATATATAAACTTTGTAACATGCTCCACCTCTTAAGCAACATAAATACATACAACTTTACAATTAAGCAATGATAACATGAGTCAACATGGAAAGTTTCAACTTAAAACACCACTGTAGACTTCAACGCTTTAAGGCTTTATATTTTCAAATTCTTTTTTTTTTTAACAGAAATAAATTGAGGCACTAAGAATAACAATCATTAGCAGCCTCGGGTTATAAAAACTGCGATCTCTTGATAGCGATTCCGCAGCTGTGTCAGAAAACCCCATCCACAGCTGTGCCAGTCGCAGTAGATGCCCTTTTTAACCTCCACAGTCCCTTACTGGAAGAGCCACTGTAAGTGTAAGTGTGGGTCACTAAACACCAGACTGTGTGTACCATTAATTCAGTTTAAACCAGTGAACATGGACTGTCTACAAGCTAGTGTCTGAACACATAATATTCACATCGGGGAAATGTGCATTCATAAAACAAGTAAATAAATTAAAAATCTATTAAAAAGAGTTACCAAAACCTAAACCAGTGGGCCATTCCTGATTAAAACTGCCTGAAAAATTACTTCAAACAGACACTTCAAGTGGCAACAAGTATTTCACTATTTAAAAAAATATATAATTTATATATATATATATATATATATATATAAAGTATGGTTTATATTAACTACATAACCTACTATTTACATAACCTATAGTTTTATATCCACAACTAAAAGAAAAATCCTTACTGCCTTACTGTCAGACACTTGTAGATAGTACATGTAGATATGTATGTATCTAAATAAATAAACAAACAAATATTATTTGGTCAATTTTTTGCTCATCTGTCAAATGAAGACTACTAAACAGCTGTCTTTCTGCAAGGTAGGTCCGTAAGTTACTCCATGGACATAGCAGGATTTATAGACATGATACCATGGTAATACCGTGCTATATTTTGAATAACGTTGGAGTAAATAAATACCACAGTAACTTACATGAACCTGGCCATCGTACAGTACCGCGTCAAAGTTTACTAATGATGGTATAATAACTACCATTTACATTTTACCATGGTAACACCATGGTGTTCTACTAAAACACAATTATCAGCTATCATTCATGTGCCAAACTAAAACACTGCTACAGTGTTTGAATGAGATCTGGTGTGCATTTATTATGATTTAACAGCAGTATCAATATCTGTGGTATTTTGGCGGAAACTATGTTGGTTGCCATGGTGAATGTTTCTAAGCGACTGCACTTTTTATGAGTGTTAGTGGCTAATTCGGTTAGCATGTTAGCCCTTCACGTTGCGCCATTTCATTCTCACTCCTCTGCTGGTGGTGATATGCTAACGCGCTATGCTAACCCTCAGCTTCATTTCGCTGTTTGTTTGTTCGTCTGGGAGTGAACGTGTGTTTACAAACAAACAGCACATTCACAAACACCTCGAGCGCGGCTAAATCACGCAGCGTTCGCGAGACTGTATCTAAATGACGCGCTGGCGTCGCGCCGCGGTGCTCTGTTCTCATGACGTCTCCCGTGCGGCGGGACGCACACACACAAACGACGCGACGCTCCTCCGCCATTCGACGGGGCTTCCGCGGACGCTTCTCGTCAACGAGCCGTCGAAGATCCGCGCTGCGCGGTTGTGTTTATCCGTTACGTTTGAGCGAGAGAAGTGCGCTGGACCTGCCTTACCGTTTAGACCGCGCTCGGTGTCATCCTTACATAGCGAGAGGCTTTGCGTGAACATGCGCAGTTTGTTTGAGCTACACTTCCTGCTCAAGCCATGAGAGACTGTACTGTACTGTACTGTACTGTACTGCACTGCACGCACAGCACTGTTCCTGTTGAAATAAACGAGCTTTATGGGAAACCTGGAAGTGTCAGTATTGAGTGAAAAGTTATGGTATAGTTTTACAAAGTCACTGTTTTTGTAGTAAGGCTGCTCTTCCGCTGTTGTTTGCGTCTGTTTGTGTGAAGTACAACAACTCCACGACATCAGCTGTCCTTTGAAGTGGCCTGCTTCAGATATTTGAAGAGTTTATTTGCAAAAACAGATAACTCCGTTTTTATTAATTTTCTTATATCATGTTTTTTTATTGTGTTATCATATTTTTATTGTGTTTTATTGTGTTAGCTGTTAGTTAAAAAACAGAATTACATAATTTAATTACAAAATAAGGTTACACTTTATTTTAAGGTGTTACGTTATTTATTTATTTTAGATTAACTGCTTTTTTTCTCTCCTGTCATAGCTATGCAAAGATTTGATTTCAAAAGCAGCATCATAGCTATTAAACCATATCTTGTTATAATTTTAAATCTCACTCTAAAAAATGCTGGGTTAAAAAGGGACAAACCCAACCGCTGGGTCAAAACAACCCAACCGCTGGTTCAAAACAACCCAACCTCTGGTTCAAAACAACCCAACCGCTGGTTCAAAACAACCCAATAGCTGGGTTTGTCCCTTTTTAACCCAGCGCTGGGTTATATTTAACCCAGCATTTTTTAGAGTGAGATTTAAAATTATAACAAGATATAGTTTAATAGCTATGATGCTGTATTCTGAAAGTCTGACAGTAATCAGGGTTGAGTCCTACTGTAAGGTTAACCCTGCCTGCTTTAAATGTTTCCAAATGATTAACATTCATTTGAAATTTAGAAAAGTAATCAAAGCAATCAAATGTAATCAGTTACATTTAATAAAGTAATTGAAATAGTTACACTACTTATTACATTTTAAACAGGGTAACTTGTAATCTATTGCATTTCCAAAGTAATCTTCCCAACACTGCTAATATTAAAATTGTTCAAACCTATTAATCTTCTAACTCAGGGGTGTCCAAACTCGGTCCTGGAGGGCCGGTGTCCTGAAGAGTTTAGCTCCAACCCCAGTTAAACACACCTGAACCAGCTAACCAAGCTCTTACTAGGCATACTAGAAACTTCCCAGCAGGTGTGTTAAGGCAAGTTGGAGCTAAACTCTGCAGGAACACACCTGAACCAGCTAATCAAGCTCTTACTAGGCATACTAGAAACTTAAAGGCAGTTGTGTTGAGGCAAGTTGGAGCTAAACTCTGCAGGACACCGGCCCTCCAGGACCGAGTTTGGGCAGCCCTGCTCTAACCTGCTAATGGCACGCAGTTGCAGTCACAATTACTATGGGTTTATTGACCTAATGGGTTATTATTATTACTTATGGATAATCAAATAAATGGCAGTAATCATGAATGCCTGTATAGGTTATGGAAAAGTCATGGAAATGCATTGATAAAAGAGCAATCCTTCATAATATGTGACCCTGGAGCACTAAAGCAGTTATAAGTAGCACACGTATATTTGTAGCAATAGCCAACAATACACTGTATGGGTCAAAAATATCAATTTTTCTTTTATGCCAAAAATAATTAGGATATTAAGTAAAGATCATGTTTATTTATGAACCTCAAAGCATATGTTTGTGTATTTTGTGTTACTCCATAATGGTGTTCTATTTGAGGGCATTTGTAGTGTGGGAATAGGGCCCAAACATAACCTCAAGCCCAGGGGCCCTTGGCCCCCTAAGTCCTGCCCTGCATTCTTCAATGGAAAGCTTATTTATTCAGCTTTCAGATGATGTATAAATCTCAATTTCGAAAAATTGATCTTTATGACTGGTTTTGGGGTCCAGGGTCACATATATCTGATAAAATTACAGTGCTTTTTGTAAAGGTTATATTTTTGTTTAAATTAACACACAAAATAAAAGCATTTATTCACGCTACCACGATATTTTGCTTGTCAAAAGCTGAACTGCTAATGAATTTGATAAAGACTTTCTGTCTTTCAGACATAACACACACCTCTTTAAAAAGACTCATGGCTGTATTAGATCAAATGGGTGCTTCTACTAAATACTGAGCAATGGGTCTGAATACTTAGGACCATGTGATATTTCAGTTTTTCTTTTTTAATAAATCTGCAAAAATGTCAACAATTCTGTGTTTTTCTGTCAATATGGGGTGCTGTGTGTACATTAATGAGGAAAAAAAATTAACTTAAATGATTTTAGCAAATGGCTGCAATATAACAAAAGAGTGAAAAATTTAAGGGGGTCTGAATACTTTCCGTACCCACTGTAACTATGTGTATTTGACGTGTCAGAATTCAGAAATTAATTTCTAATACGCCTAATTTCTAATACGCCGTGCGTATTAGGCAGAAACCGTTTTAACGCACGCATTTACCAGACCATTTGTTTTAAAACCTGCTTAAAACGCCTTGAAATGATAAGCTTAGACTACATCATGACGCGCTTCAATCAACGATTGATATATTTCTACCGGATTATCTCCCAACCCTTAAATGAATATAGTTTGTTCAAACACAAAAACAATATAAATCCAGTTAATAATCAAACTAACCTAAAATCTGTGTGGACGATGACTGTTTAATCCAGTTAATAATCAAACTAACCTAAAATCTGTGTGGACGATGACTGTTTTTATCTGCTCCATGTGCCCGGTTCACTTGCTGTTCCAGCAACTTCCACTCCATCATCAGCTTTAGTAAAATAACCTGATAGCTTGGGAATTTACTAAGTCATGTTTTTTATGTTGTTTGTATTTGATGTTTTTCGTTTTTTGAGCCCCTCTCTCTTTTAGAATTGCTGACATTTTTACTTATTGAATGTTGTTCTTTGCGCAACCATTTCCAGATTACTCCAGAACAAAGTGAAGAGCGGTGAATGCAGACATACTGGGCAACAATCACCTGATAGATACTTGTGCATATCGTTCAAAAGTCAAATATAGAATAAATGCATTTGATTGGTAAACCAAATTCAAACTTTACGTTTCAATCTCAAATGGTAATGCATGGAATTTACGGGAAAGCTCAACTAAATAACAGCGCTAATAAGTGGGGGGGCGTGGTGGCTTAAGCGATCTGCGCTCCAGTCAATCTACTCCACAGCCAATCACAGGACCCCTCCTTGCTCGGGCCGGGGGCTTCAGCCCCGCCTAGCCCAATGGTTAAACCGGGTTAATGTACAGCAAATGTGATGCTATGCTATGTTGATTCATGTTTTATTACATTTTCTCGCTTTCCATTTTTGCTTGCAAACTCTTTTTGGCTCGAAGGACAGCTGTTGTGGCTTCAAACTATTTCCACTGCATAGTTGTAACTTCACTTTATTCATGGATGAAAATTCAAACAAAGCATGATGAAAGTATGCAGTTCTCCGCAAAATCTGTTGGACAGCTCTACTTTTAGACATGTCATCATTGCCAGTTTGTGTAATATTGCTTCAACCGCTGTGCCTCTCCAAGCAACACAGTGGTGGAGATTGATTCCCGAATGATTCAGTGTTTTTGAATAAATCAGTTGAACAAATGGATGAGCCCAAACATGCCCTCTATAGTCTTATATAGTGCATTATTTGAGGGGACAGCCGTTTGTAGTGGTGTCTGAAACCATATTAATATACAGAATTGTGAATGACTATATAGTGGACGATATAGTTATAACAATGTAACCTGAAGAATAAATCACAAAAAAAGTCCAAATGAACAAATCTGTCAACCCTAATATACAAAACTGATAAGAAAAAACTAAGAAGAAACATAGCTATTTCAACAAAAAAAAATCAAATTTGAAATGTAATGCAGGGAATTCTGGGAATGTCAATTTACGGTTATTCACTGTAAATTATACGGCCTTTTTCACTTCCAAAAACGGTATACTACCGTAAAATTACATGTAATGTCCAATACAGTTTTCACCGTATATAGTAGGGGAATTTACCGTTAACCATTTAACAGGTTTTTACTGTAGCATTTTTTGTCTTTTACTGTTAAATTCACGGTCATTTTTTACAGTGAAGGTGAAATCCTATTGAACTGCTTATCTTTTACACACACACACACACACACACACACACACAACTTACTGCAAGAGATTGAGAACACCGATCTTAATTCTAATTTTATTTAAACATAATGAATCTTATGACATTTACCAAATCACAATGCAAAATATATTGACAGTTTACAATGCCCAGAGCTTACATCATTACTATTAGCAAATATTACAGTTGATTTAACATTTAAAATGTGCAATACATTTCACTCTGCTCATCCACATCAGTGATGAACCCCTATAAAGGCCTGTTACAGATGTGTTTATGTGACTAGAATGGACAGTGGGTGACTAATGAAAGCCCTGCTGTTATACTGAATATCTATCTATAATACACAATAAACTTATTCCATTTACACTAGCTATTTGATTTATTTCCCTGCAACCAATTTTATTAAAATGGGGTCATAGAGCTGTTCTCTTTTGACCACCAGGGGGCGGGTACAATGTATTTGGCACCACCATGAATGATTTTATCATTGTTATAATGCATTCATATGTGAACTAGTACTTGAGAAGCACTATGTGCAGTTAGATATGCCATGAGTAAGTACTAACTGAATGCAGTTACCATAGAAACTAGTCAAATTGTGCAAAACCGTTCAGTGACCGCAACACAACAGCAGTGCGGTCACATATTTCAGTCCTTCAGATCTTTATTTGAATATTTATACATGTAAACACACTCCTTTAAATATTACAAAGGTAAAATAATCTAATTGAATCAACCCATCAGAATGTTAAATCCACAAGGCTTTTCGCACTGCATTTGACTATTTTTATATGTGTGAATTGTATTGGTAAATTTAGCCTTAATCCAACACATTAACTTCTCTCATTCTTATCTATTTCCCATCCCTGTAAACTTTGCATCCACAGCTTCCAACTTGTATAAAATTGC